AAAAACATCGATGCTGTGCGCCGTATGATCAAAACAGGCATGTGACATACCATGAGATTCGGGCATCTTTAGGCAAATGCATGAGACAAATACAATCAATACTACACAAACATTTGGGTGTGAAAAAGCTGTGCTCTCGGTGGATCCCACACAATTTGACTGAGGCTCAAAAAGCTAATCGCGTAACTTGGTGCAATGCCATGCTTACCAGATTCAACAAAGGGGCGTCAAATTTGGTGAAACAAAGCAGCAATCGAGCGTATGGGTCTTTTGAGATGGCCCGAAACCAACCAAAGTGGCGCGCGTGCAAAGGGCCTCTAAGTGGATGATTTCTTCCTATTTTAATAAAACTGGACAAGTGGCTACTGTTGCTTTGGAGAATCGTTGTACCATTAATAGTGATTGGTACACGACCATTTGTTTGCCGGAAGTTATTGACAAATAACCGTAAACGCCGTATCATCTTGCACCACGATAATGCCAGTTCTCTGTCTGGCCGTGTGTTCTTACACGGCCAAATGAATTTTAAAGACAAATGAATTTTTGAAGGTGAACAACGTTGACCTTTTGAGCCATCCCGCGTACAGTCCCGATCTGGCACCTTGTGACTTTTATTTATTTCCAAGAATTAAGAACCAGTTACGCGGTCAACAATTTTCATCACCTGAAGAGGCTGTCGAAGAGTATGAGAAATGTGTTTCAGAGATTGTCGCGGAGGAGTGGCATAAATATTTTCAGAATTGGGTCATTCGTATGAAAAAGTGCATCAACGCTAACGGAGAATATTTTGAGAAACAATGAATTTATTTCTGACCATTTATAGTATTTTTTACTTATTAATTCCGGAAACTTATAGTGCGCCTCACGTATGTAGGTACTTACTTGGAAAAATATTTGACGTACTGACAAACATGCAGGAATTGACAAATATATGACACATGGAGCTAAATGAGGAGTTAAAATAATGTAAATATGACCAAAGTGTGGACGGTTTGCATGCGTATTTGCCTATTTGATGTGTGTTATATGTGTGTCGAGAAAACGACCAGTGCGCGGTAACACGAGTTTGGTATTTGCTGTATTTGTATGTACGTACAAGCAAACAAGGAGAATACATTCTCACACATTCTATCTATACAAGGTGATTGTTTGCCACATAGGTATATAAAATAGGTACGCAAAAGCAAATGGCCATGTGAAGTGCTTTCATTACATTTAGTTTATATTGCCCAAATATCGATTCAGGCATAAAAATATTATAAATGTAGATAGATATACATATATTTTAATATAATTTTTAGGATTAAAATTATATACACATATACTTGTATTTATATTGTTGTGCAGTTAACGCCAAAATAATAATAACAATAATAATAGATATAATAATAACATAATAATAACGCACACACTCAACATAGCCCCGCACTAGGGAAACCCTGTGTCGCGGGTGCCATGAACACACGTAGACAACCACAAATTACACCCAAACTCACGAGAGAAATAAATGTAGGTCATACAAATATTTCTCCCGACCCGGGAATCGAACCTGGGACCTCTGCGTGGCAGTCCGGCATGGTAACCGTTCGGCCACAGAGGCAGTTAAAATGTGCTACTATTCTATGCATTCTTTTAAAGATAAACATTTTTGTCTTGGGGTTGGGAAAAAGATTATAATAGCCAATGATCTTACCTAAAGTAGAAGCAATACTGTTTCAAATCTAAATAGGATTAATACCTATAATTTAGAGTCATGAAAATATTTCTTTTTTTATTAAGGGCTTTGGCTTGGATAAAAAGTATTTTTTTAGCCATGTTTTCGTTTAATTATTATTATATATTTTTTAATTTATATTACTCTAATGATTCTAATACATTATGTTTTCTCTTTCTCATAAATAACTTAGTTCACTTATTTGGGTTTTTCACGCTTAAGACTATTTAAAACTATATTAAGCGTCGGGAGTGAGTATTAATGTTTTCACTTCCACTTAAATCACGTTATCCTTTATCACTTTGAACAAAAACTTTAAATTCGTAATTATTGGAGTTTTTAAGATAAAGTCTTTTGTAATTTGGTTTAAAATAAGGAATATACTTCTGACTTCCTTCATCACTATTTCTTGCTTAGTTTTTTCTTCCTAACATACTGAAAATAAAAATAATCTTTGTAAAAGCTGTACTTGCAATTTTAAAAGCCCGCCATTCATGAAAATAAATAAATTTGCACTAATGACTAGAGTTGAAGCTTAGCTAATTGTAGTATTTTTTGTTTGCTAGTTTTACGCAGCTCTTTATTTGTGCTTCATAGTTGTGTTTACAATTTGCTACAATTCTATTCTGTCTATATTAGTACAGATAGAATTGTAGCAAATCATATCATAGTATAGGTAGTATGTACGTGATCTTTCGCGTCTCTAGTTCATTAGCATCTATAGCCTGTGCTAGTTCAGATTTGACATTTATGACATTACATATAAATGCTTTACGTCTGATAAACGCGTTTTCGATTTTTCCTGTTTTGATTGTGATATCCTAGAAAATATCGGAGTTTTAGTGGTCATATTGAAAGTTATTGACATTCTTAAAACCTTTTCTAGGACTAATATGCCCGTAGTAAAAATTTAAATAATTGAACTAGTTGTTACGGATTTCTAGAATTCCATTGTTGTTTTTCTTTGTTTTTTTCATCTGATTCATCAACAGTGGGATCACGATGCCTATATTATTCAGTGTGGTTGCTCGCGGTACGGTCGTGTTGGCCAAATACGCATCATGTGCCGGCAATTTCACCGAGGTCGCAGAGCAGATTCTCTCGAAAATTCCTCCCCACGACGACAGGCTGACCTACTCTCACGGGAATTATCTGTTCCATTACATTGCGGAAAACAAGCTAGTTTATTTCTGCATTACCGATGATGTAAGTAATGTTTTCCTACTGATATTAGTAAGTACTTATTGATTTGGTTAAAGAATGAATAATCATTCTTTCTGATTGGACATTATAATAGACATACAGAACGTTTGCTGTGTTTATAAGTGTGTCGAAGAATACATAACTTCATTGCATATGAAGACTTAAAGTTTTCTCATGCCCTTTTCAGAAATTCCAGCGTTCTAGAGCATTCCTTTTCCTCAATGAAATCAAGAGAAGTTTTAAAACAGCATTTGGTGACACGGCTCAAACAGCCATACCATATGCCATGAACAGTGAGTTTGCACGTGTCCTGGCTACAGAGATGAAACGTTACACAGAATCTAGGGACCTTGATACTATATCTCGGGTCCATGGGGAGCTGGAGGAGCTTAAGAACATTGTGGTTAAGAATATTGGTGAGTTATTAGTGTATAGCTATAATGAATTTATATATTTGATAACATTTTGATGGTACAGTAATGTAACACTTGGTGTTATGTGTTGTTAAATTACTAGATATATAAAATAGCTCTTTGGCTGTTCTGGGAAGTTCTGCCAAAGATCTCTTGTCAGGCTTATCGCGTACCACCAGATGCACAACTTATTTGTCCTGTCACTTGTATCATAAAAAAAGTTTGAGAACAGATAAATAGGTATAATTGCAGGAATTTATTGATGGCAGTTCTCGCAGGCCTTTGCATGTGTGATCTGATTCCAGTCCAGCACAATACTGTAAATATGAAACAATATGTCTTGTGATTTTTTGAATCTTAACATAGAATGGGAAGGGAGGAATTATAATTAATTAGCAATCTCTTATCAGTATTCAATTATTATTATCTTAATTGAATTTATTTGTAATAACATTAGTAAATAATGTAATGTAAACATAGGGGTAATGGTCGCATTGAAATAATAAAAACAAATTCAAAATGTTCAATAGTTTAAAATAAAGTAAACATATTAAAATAAAAATATTAGTTAAATGTATTGTTTATTAATTATACATACTAATTAAACAACATATCGTGTAATGAATGGTTTTTTTCCTGGTTTTGATAAGAGATAGTGGTACTTAAATAGTTTGGTGTGGTCAGATTGCTGTTTCACAGCGTCAATATAGTATGACTAATACAAAATATAATTATTCACTTCTGTTATCTACCTAGCTTTCGTAAACTCAATTGCGTTCAGTCCTCTTGATAGTGTATGCCATCAGATGATAAGATTTTTCTTAAGCCTTTTTGAAATTATTTTGCATTGAAATTACTAACAAAAAATATTTTTTAAGCGCATCTGATGTAATTCCACTTATGCCAGTCTTCAGCAATTTGAATTGTTTAAGGAATTATTAGAATTATAGTACATATATGGGCTCAAAATAAATCAAAGGATTTGCTTATGAACGTTGAATGTACACACTAATACAACATAATAATATTTTATCTATATAGTTGTGTATATGTTGCAAAAACCAAACTATTGTAGATAAGTTTCAAATAATTTTGCTTGATTAATGTGACAACATTGGTTAGCAGTGCAAGTACTACATGGGGTCTTTGATTCGGTTCTTGGTAGATCTAATGTGGGAAGAAAACTTTCTTAAGTTAATTCTGGGTAGTAGAGTTAATATAAAAGTATGATAGTCATAATATAGGGAATTCCCTAGTATGAGACCAAGTAACTAGTGCGGCTGTTTGGCACATCATTACATTTATACTGGTGGCAAGGTTCTCTGTGCAGCCAGTTTGGTTAGGTGCCACCGGCTTGCCTATTTCTATCATAATCCGATACATAATTAACTCACTTCGTGGTCGGCAATGCATTTAGGATATTTAAGGTATTTTAGTATTGCTAATGGCTATAGGCAGAGGTGACCACGTGCTATTGGGTGAACTGACTGACTATCTATTTGCCTGTTTATGGAATAAAACATTTTCACCACTAATCTAATTTTATTATTGTGGAAGTAATTGTGAAGACAGGTGATAAAGGGATTAAATCGGTACAGACCCACGTCCACATTCATAGTCAGTACATTTGGACATAGTTAAGCAAAAAGATTCTAATCTACAAAATTATCAAAAAATGAGTTATATTTGTTAAACGGTCCCTAAAGTCTAACCTCGTAGATCAGCAAAAAATCCAACATATAAACATAAATAAATATCTCTGGAGTTCCATGATATTATAAGTTTTGAAAATAAAAAAAGAGTGAGAAACACTTTTAAACTTCAAAGTGCCATATCTTGAAAGTGACTGGATGTACATTGGATCCTTTTTGTTTAACTACGTCCATTTATTATCGAAGTCTCAAAACAGATTTCATCAAAAATAATGGTTACTGTCAGACATGCTACAATTTTGGGCATTCAAAAAAAAAAACGACTGAATGAGACTCTGCTGACTTTGTGGCCTTTGCCGCATGTTAAATGCGGATGCGGCAAAGGCCACAAAACTTTAGAGTGCACAAAAAGTTGTACAAAAACCCTCGCTAAATGCGCACCAAGTTCATGTAATCACCTAATGATTAAGGATATCAGCTGTACCAAGTGATTCTAGTGAGGAAAAGCAACAGGAAATACAGAAACTAGTCCAATAATCAAAGACAACTCTGCATTGGCTAATAGACAGAAATCAAAGTTGATATGTGGCTAATAACTTTGTCATTTAAGTAAGGCTGTACTCGAGCCGACCTGCTCGAAATGTCCTTTGCCTAAAGCTGGTTCAAAATATAATTTTGTGCACTATGTCAAACGCACCATGATCACACAATTCAAAAAGTAGTAATGAATACTTAAACGTGTCTAAAATATCTACAATTATTTAATTCTTCTTGTACGGATAGGTTACATTGAGTAGACAACTGAGATAGCGCAAATCATGATAATAGATTCACACAATTAAAGATCTAAACACTATTGGGTCTTAGTCCGTCTGTGGAGGGATAACAGCGCAGAAGTGAAACCCACGCTTATTTGGAAAGACCTTGCACAAATTGTGTGTATCCTCACTGTAATTAATTAAACTGAATATAATTACGACTTATGCTATAAGTGAATTTTATTTTTCCTTGAAATCTTAATTTGAATTGCCGTAGGTAGGTACTCATTCAAATTCATTTACTTCTTTGTTGTAATGGCATGACAAGAAGGCATTTTGAATCATTATACTTAACTAGCGTCGTGGCATGCAATAGCAATGTATACTATTGTAATGTTTTATTTTTATTGAATATTACGTTGTTTTACTACCATTTTTTGGAATTACTTCACTACTTTGTTATTACTATTGATACAAAGATCGAATAAACACAAAGAAACTACTAATGTTATCAACTTGAAACAACAATGGCAAGATCATAGTTAAAAGAATTTGTTAGTCTTCAAATGCCTTAATTACAAATTTGAATAAAATAAATTTATTAGGTTTTTCAAATTATAATAAATGCCTGTCTAAGTCTGGAAATAAAATCACATTTAAAAGAAACTCTAATGGCTAATTAACGTAAGTAACTATCAGTTTCTTAGTTTCTTAACGTTGAGCGACATCCAGCCGCCAAAAAAGGAATCTCAGTACCTGCGTATATGGATATGGTCCACATTTAGTTCACATAATATCAATTGTACTGATTCGACCGATTTGTAGTAAGCTAATAAAAGATTAACTAATAACTACTTCATTACAAAAAATAAAGTCGATAATTTTCTCCAAAATGCCATGCGAGAAAGGTAAAACTGACAGAGAAGTTCCCGAAATCAGGGATAGAGGGCACATTTCACAAAAAAAAATTGTGTCCGTGTTACCAGTGCAGTAGTCTGTGGTAGGTTATTAATTAACTCAGTTTTTTTTATATGGCTTATCGTCATGCCTTTTGACCATACCAGTATATAAAATAATTTCCTCTGAACTTTCGTCACGTCACAAACCCGCCATTCAGCTTCTATTAACTCTGTTTAAGGCTTCTGTAGTTTATTTTGATGTAATAACACACCGAATATATTTTATTCAATTACGTAACACTTAACCTCCAAAACTTCATATTGGAATATGTTTAACTCCTGACTTTTCAGAATAGTAAACCCAAAACAGAATTTGTTCAAGAATTTCAACTCTATATTTTCATATATTTTTCATAAACACAAAAATTTCGTTGGGAGTTTGCCATTGTCCTTTCATAAACTTGTTTTTCTGGATTATTCGGACTTGTCCTAGATAAAGGGTTTCCAGAAATGTCTATAGTTTTTTAACGGTATCTATAATGCAGCCTATATACATATGAAAACGCAGCAAAGGTACTTCGGGTGACATATCATATAAATGAAATTTTACATAAGCCTAAATTATTGTTTTAAAAGTCGTTGTCGTCGTCACACCATTACAGATAATCCTGCGATTATGATTATCTACGACAAGCAAAAAAAAAATTGTTAACATTTATGCAAGCTTTCTATGGTAAATAAATAGAGATTATTCATGGAAAGGCTCTGTGTGGTGCAAATGTTCTCCCCAATTCACTACAAGCTTTGTTCTTAAAATCTTGAATAGTCTCTGACCAACCCCTTTTGACAACTAATTTTTTGTCGAAATTGGGCCTGCTTCTTTGAGTCTATTGTCCTAGCTTATTATTTGTAATTTGATTTGTTGTTTATTTCCCCGAATTTATCCCATTTTTTTTTTCAGACAATATGACGGTGCGCGGCGAGAAATTGGAATTACTTCTGGACAAAGCCGAGAACTTGAGTACGAATGTGAGTGTTTTTTCAATTTTATTATGTACTTTTCTGCGATGCGATCATTTGGACGTCTTCAGATGCGTTCAGGTGACGTCAGCGCCGTAATATTGCAATTAGGAATTCAGCAGGAAGCACATTTGTAGCCGCCCTGCTGTTGATCTGCACCAAAAAGTTTTTCGATCAGTCTAATACGAACCCTCGTAAATAAGTGTGGTGGCTCGCTAAGACTATAATTGCTTAAGCGCCGACCGCTAAATATTATTTATTATACTTACGGGACACGCGACATACCTACATAATAAAATTATATATAATTAATAGACAGTAAACCTACAGTACTATGCAAATGATTGTTATCTCGTTTTCAGTCAGTGGCATTCCGCGGGAATGCTACAACCCTACAGCGCTCTCTCTTCTGGAAGAATGTCAAAATGTACGTAATAATAGCACTGATAGCCTGCCTAGCCGTTTACCTGATCGGAGCCATGGCCTGTGGCGGACTGGCGTGGAAGAGCTGCGTGGGTTAATTCACTAGTCACGTTGCGGTCAACCTTATTTGTATTCCCAACATATAAAGATGCTCTATTTAGGTATACATACACTCTACTGCTGTATAGGTACTCTATCTTTCGGGCAACGCGTCAAAACGTCAGTATTATGCATGTCGTAAAATATTCTTTATTTTCTAGAACAGTGTAAAATGGAACGGGTAAGCCATTTTGTGAGAAATCTTCGGCCATTCTTACGCCGCGTCAGTGACCATATTTCTGCGGCTTAGAAGTGCCTAAGTCCATATTACTCTTTGATTATACGTCTCTGCCGCGGCGTCAATGACGCGTTATCTGAAAGCCTTTGTAACCTTAAATATAACACAAAAAACACTTTTGAGCTGTCAACAAACAGTTGACAGTATGTCAAGTATGACAGTAGCTCTTGATACACCATTTACATTGTACAGGGCAGTGTACCAAGCAGGTCATTTTTGCACTTGTGTATTGTCCCTGTCTGTCAAAGTGCGGAGATTAAACCCCTTAGTACACTGGAACGTAGCATAATGTAAATTGAGCTTGGAAACGTTTACAAATACAGACAATTAACTCAGACAAAGTTTACTAAGCAGAAACAAGATTCCAATAGAACGAAATCGATCGACTGTGGATCTAAGGCTTGAAGTCGTTTTATAAACTATAACACTTTTCAGTTCTATTGTGTATGCTATGCTATGCTTAGCAATAAAAATTAAAAAAAAATGATAAAAAGCCGTGGTGTTGTTAAATGAAGCGTAAGTAACAAACAATATTTCACTTGTTGTTGCGGTGATGGCGAATATCTAAATTATTTACCTTAATAATTTTGTGTTTTAATAAAATGTACGTAACTCGATTCTGTTAGTGATAAATGAAAACGTGACAAGTAATTAAAATATCCCGTTTGAAATATTTCTCCTTAACGTGTTTCTTGAATATTGAAATTTCTTTTTGTTTTTGAAATTGTTTGAAGGCCATATTTACTTGCCAAAAAAATCTTTTTTTTTAAAGAAATTATCGGTCCCCTAGCCCTTATATTATTTCCATTGTTTATAATCTCTAACATTTCGACTGAATGACCTGACCAAGGTCATAAAAAAGGTTTAAAGAATTAAATTCAGATCTAACTGTAAATAACGTTTTTGTGAAGTTGCTAAAGGAAACAAAGGAGTAGGCAGTCAAGGTTAAAACAGTTTGTTATTGTCAAGGCCTGTGTCACACTACTTTTTTTGTAGCAGTAGAGCTCCTTGTGAAAGAGTTCTTCCAGGGAAGTACTGCCACTTTACCTATTTCTGCCGTCAAACAGTAATGTCAGCATTACTGTGTTCTGGTTTCGAAGGGTGCTGGTGAAATTACAGGCACATGGGACTTGTCAACTTAAGTCTCAGGTTGACGGGCGCAGTGGCAGTCAAATCTTTGCGAGTTAAAGCACTGAGTGGCACTGCAATGTTTATGGACAGGCGTCTAGCTTATCATCAGGCGCACGACTTGTTCGTCCCGTCACTTGATATTATAAAAAAAAACCTTTTTTTAGAGATCGGCCAAAAAATGTCAAGTTTTGAAGAGTCTTATACAATGTTTCTAGCAATCATAGTACGTTCAGATAATAGACACACTTTCCACTTTTTTAGTGCATAGTCATCAGAATAATTCTCAGTAAAAAAAATAATCCGAGTGACAAGAATGTATGTGACGGTCGTGGTAGCTCTAGTGCCCTTTATTGCCGTGTTGTACCAGATAAGCTGGTCGATCTGTTTTTATGGAATATGTAAACGGTGTTCTTATTTTACTACGCATCGAATGTATTTCAGTTTGATCGGAAATAAACGTTTTCTCTTTCCAACTTTGCTCTTGATACTTATAATTCATCAGTTTAAAAAAACTATATGGACACGTAGATTGTATTGACTACATTTATAAAATTAGTATAAGTGTTAAAAAAGAAAGGAGTAAATAAAAATTATAATATTGCCAGATTTGTGCATAAAAAAATATTATTAAAATATCATCCACACATATATAATAATATACGCTAATGTTAACATTACTAGCTTAACGAGCTGTATGTTAGTGTAGATAGAGATAGTACGCATCCTTGTCTATGAATAATGATTTACCAGCTTTTGTCTACACCAAAAACATTTAAATTATATTGTTATAAAGGCTGATTAGTTAATTCGGACCCTCGCCATGTTACGGAACAAAGAACTAATTTCTTTCACTGACCAACAACAGGAATATTTCTTTCACTAACCAACAACAGGAATATTTGATGTCAAAACTGTTTGCTAGCGCCATCATTTCAGGGTTCATAATCAATTTGTCCGCCTTTACATGGTTAATGATGACCATATCAAAGTATGTTATGTATTAAGAATTGCGAAAATGATTGTATTTAATTAAATAATTCTGTAGATAATATTTAGGTTTGTTTCCTCAACACTATACATACACTTATACCAAGGATTACTAAACAACTCACTAGATAGCGCTTTGCGAGATGTCCAAGTTGGCGAGACTTTTCTATTACGATTCACTATTTCGACATTTCAGTGAACTCATACGACATCTAGTTATTGACGTCCGTTCAAAATTTATAAAGCTCTTTTCTACTTTATTCAGAAGTAGATTGCATTCATTTGCAAAAAAAACGACATTCGCAATGGTAGGTAATTCTTTATTAAAGGACAATATTTCTTTAAATACGTTATTCTTGAAATGTATGGAATTCTCAGTAAGTCAAGTTATAGTGTAGAATTAATCGTAATAAGCACATCAATAAATGTTATTTAGAACTATACTAATTATATTATTCATAAAAATCGGAAGTTGTTCGATCGATTTGTACGAGAAGTCAAATTTTTTTCTGTAGGTATTAAAAAAAATCATGTTAAAACACTGTGTCAATCCGCGAATAAAGGAACAGTCAGTGTCAAAACAACTTTACGTTCAAAGTGCTAGTAATTAGAGATGTTACGAATACCGATTATTCGGCCACACTCTTGGCCAAGCGTCGAATATTCAGCCGCCTAATGTTCGGCGTAATAAATGTGCATTTCGCATGATACAAATCACGATTCACGAAATAAGACCGACAAAATCCACAAAGATTAATCTCTCGTCTCCTGGCAGTAGTGTTTATAATGAAAGGCTATTTTATGAAACAAGTGTGGTTTACGAGGAAAAATTATTTTCATTTATCATTACCTACTACTGATAGATTTTAAGTATTGAAGCAATAATTTGCGATCTTATCGTATTGGTGGCGTACACTAAAATGCTTGCCATCATAGTAAAAAGATTTAGCCATTAGGAGTAAGGTAGTCGCCGATTGCAGCACAGGGTGCGCCAGACGTACAGGGAAGGAATGGTACGACATGCGAGGTCCTTTCGTGCACCTCAATTTATATTGACAAGAATTTGTGATTGAAATAGATACATTTTTTGAGAAATATGTGCGGTATTCGGAAAAAAAATAGGTCGAATACCGAATAGTTGTCAATAATTCGTGACGTCTCTACTAATAATTACTGTGCATTTGATAAAAATTAACTTAATGCAATGAATGTAAGGTGCACTGGTTTTAATTAATGGTCTTAATCAATCTCAAAAAAGATATTCATTTATACATATATCAATATAACGCAACCTATTGCTAGTAAACCTTTGAAATAAATAATAGAATTTACGTATGTATAGCACGGTGAGAGAATGGTAGCTTCTCGATTGGGAGGTTGACGCTTCGAATCCTCGTGAAACGTGTAATAGAAATCAACTCTTGGAAAACTTTTGAATGCCCATACCCGCATTGGGTTAGCGTGGCAGACTAACATTGTTCTCTGTAAAGACCCGCGCCCAGCAGTGGGACGTGTAATGAGCTGACGTTGATAATGATATATATAATATGGTATTGCTCGTTTTCAATGTTCTGTTAATAGTAATTGTAAAATATTATGTACTGGCATTTGCCTGTACTGCTTGTAACAGAAGCGCTGGTAAAAAAAAGTACATTAGTGTTTTCGTTGTCAATGTATTAAATGCAGTTCTTTGTAACGCCATTACGTGGCGAAAACTAAAAATTTGTCAGCATTTACAATGTTTATTCCGTTTCAAAGAAACATTTTGTAAAAAAGTACTATAAATGATTAAAGGTATAATAAATTGTTAATAGTTTTTGTTCAGATTATATATTTCGGATTTGTACGGATTGCGTTTTATTATATTAAAGACTAAAGTATTGTGATATCGAGTGTACATTGTAAGTAATTAGGTATATGTTCGATATGTATAAAGGTATGTTATAAACTTGCATAGGTTACAAATTATTGCAATTGTTTTATTTAAACTTCCTTTTATTTTTAATATTGCTAACTAAGGGATTTCTGTCAGTGTGATGATGCCTGATATAATGTTGAAATGTTTTGAGTATAGCGAGGAACATTTTTATTCCAACCGTTTTATAATTATTTTATTGTATCATAATATATGTTTGGAAGTAACGGAAATTAGAGCGTTCGAACAAAATATATAATGTATTTTTTTAAATATTTTGATTTAGTGGTATGAAATAGTAATGGTTTTTCGTAAAGAATGTCTATACCCTTTTGCAGTCTATGATACATTTATGTCAGAATGATGTGTGATTTTGTTAAGCCAAGGGTGTTAGTAAGCCATGAAATATTTTCAAACATTTTTTCCCATTAAAAAAATAATAACTTACCTGCCTCTGGCCGAACGGTTACCATGCCGGACTGCCACGCAGAGGCCCCAGGTTCGATTCCCGGGCCGGGAGAAATATTTGTATGGCATATATGTAGATATATTTCTCTCGTGAGTTTGGGTGTAATTTGTGGTTGTCCACATATATGTGTGTCCATGGCACCCGCGACACAGGGTTTCCATGTGTGGCTATGTTGAGTGTGTGCGTTATTATTATTATTAAAAAATAATAGTTTAAATTTCTTATGACTTTTAAGATTCACTAAACGACGAACGTTTTTTAATATCATCACTAATTGTAGCTACTTATATTTCAAATGCGCAGAGCGGCTTTTAAAACTGATTTAAACTTAATCCTACATCTTCATGTTTTACTTCTATTTTTAAAAGGTCGCCTGGAAGAAATTGCCGCTTAGCAATAGTTGCTTTTGTTATTGTTTGTGTTTGAAACAAACAGAGTAAGTGTAATAAAATGAATGAAGTAGTGAGCGAGTGAACATCGCTGGGTGTCGGGATCGGCGGCCAGTGTCGGAGCCCGTCAGATTGATCTGGCACGCAGGCGAGGGTGCATCCCCCGCCCTTCCCGCTCCGCCGGCCGCTCCTCGCGGCAATCGCGCGCCAACCTCAGCCGCGGGAGGGCGCCTCAGTCGCCTGTCGCGTTCCCTACCACGTGCTTACTATTTTTGCATCTGTGTGAGTGACTCCGGTTGAATTATTCCGTGTCAATACGCCTTTGCCGGTACGATGCGTGCTTAGCATAGGAATCGCCCGATTGTCTGTCGTGTGTAAAGGACTATGTTTGTTCCTGGCCATTATTGTCGCGCCCGAGGGGTCGCCGATTAATATCGTGTGGTAAATGTTTATGCTAAACGCTTTCCAGTTTATCCTTCATCTCGACGTGCTGAAAGCTTTACAACATTAGCGCACACCGTAAGAGGTTTAACTTTCCAGTGTTTTTTATGCATTGTTTTAAAACTTTGTTTGTTTTTTACTGTACCCGTATTGTAACTGTGTAATGTTAGTCGATTGATATCCGGTTCGAAGGACTATTAATCTAACGCAGCGGTACTTTAGCCGATAGTCGTATTTGGCTTTGACCAAAATTAGGGTCAATATAAATAACCTCCGTTTGCTGCAATACATATTCATTACGTTTCCTTTTGTTTCCTTTCCTACCTTCTTATTTTGGCAACCAAGATCCTGTAGCGAACGTACAAGAGGAATGTCACAAGATTCATTGTCAACAATAGTTGTTGTTTTGATTTCATTTGATTTTGAATATAGAATAGGATGTATTTACGTTCAACGCGGCGTAATGTTTTCAACATAGACGTATTTGAAAATAACGCGCTGTTTAAACGTCTTGGTATGACTCAAAGCCGACATTTTTTTCAAGTTAATCTTGTCGCGCTCTCTTGTCAGTGTGTTAAATAAAGTAGGTACATGGAACATGTTTTAAGGATTCACTTGTGAATGTACGCGTGTGCCGCAGCCCGTTAAAGCTATGGCCACAGGGAGCGGTGTCGATTTTAGGGAACGCCAGCCTGTAAACCGTTTACAGGTCATTGTTCTTTTTACGTCGAAGCACGCTTTTTGTTCGCCCGAAGATAAATTATAGTTTTTATTTATGTGCTTTTTTTGTCTTGTCACTAGTCATTACACACATCTGTTTTGATAGATTTGAACTCCACACGTGAGCGAGTGTTGAATGGATGTTTCTAGGTATTGTCTATTTAGGACAAACCTGCAATAATGGCTATGAACAAACTAAAAGTAAATAATCTTCATTAATTGTTGAATTTGTGGTTAAAACTTAGCTCAGAATGGGTTAATCTGACGATACACACAATGCAATGACTCTTACAGTGAAGGAAAGTTTCTGTGTAAGAAGTTTCTGAATGGGATGACACAGTGAAGTCGCAGATATGGACGACAGCTCACCAGATCTGTCGCTGAAACTGCGACGGGGCTCGAGCGACTCCCGGGAATCCTTTTATATGGATTTCGCGCAGGGGATCGACTCGGACATCGAAGAAGTGACCACGATTGAACGAGTGATCCCAGAGCATCCCGGCGGGAGGACAGAGGGAGATGCCGATACCCTCGCCACGCCGTCCGGTCTGGAGGAAAACAAGGAGCTGGGGCAATGGTATGTTTTTTCTGTGGACTATTTTAAAAAGGTTTGTCGCAAGTGTGATTTGTTACTTTGAATACTTTTCCAAAATACACATAAGTAATTCCGTGCGAACATTGGACACATTAATCAAAATGTAAAAACGTATAAAGGTTAATTTAATATAGGTATCGCCAGCGGGCGCGCTGGTTGCGAATACAAATTAAGTTTTTCATTTCTTACAATGAGAATTTACTGCGCCGCTTTATGAATAAAAGCCTTTAAGATCAGAATCAAAACGTGTTTCCGTTGAGTTTGTTCACGTTATTTAATATTCTTGTGTAGTACCTGTGCCTACATTAAAGGATCCTTTAAATTCTAAAGCAATAACCCTTTTTTGCAATTACCCTACGTTTTTCATTTACGACATTACGGGCAATGAAAAGCTCGTACATAAATAAGTAACACAGGTGTCCTGTTTACGTAACCCCATTTCGATTGTTTTAGTGGAAAATGGAAATAAATTACCCGACCTAAATTAATATTCGGGATGCGGTGAAAGTATAAGTTATTATATTTCATTGTTTTTAGGCAAACAATCATACCTACTTAAGTATCTACCTATATAATCCGTGGTACATGTTCATGATACATAATAATAATTATTCGTTTATTTCTAAATTGTACAATAAATAGTATAAACACATTACACAATATTTAGTAGTTCTCACATCGGTGTGAGATGAAATATGTGAAGTTTAGCAATATGGCGGAGAACTAGTGTCGCTGATGTTATAATAATTTAATTATAGGTATCTATTGTTACACTATACTTAGAGCTGGACATAGATGAAACTTTGAAAACAACTCTTACGAATCGAGTTACAAGTAAAAAGCACTTATTATCAAAACCTGATTTTAATTCATTGTCGCTTTCGACGACTGCTATGGGTACACACTTATGCGGTCGTGAGTACACATATAGGAGTAACTTAAACGATACTTATTTGAACCATCTAAATATTATTTCATTGAAGTGAAACGTTGTGAGCAAACCCACATTTCAGAGAAGGTTTACTGGTGTGGCAGATCGTAACTTTGAGAGGATCCACCACCACCACGAGACGCTACTACACAACAAAAACTACACCAATTTATCAAACTAGTTAATACCTTGTATATTGAATAGGTATCGAGCATATTAAGCGACACGAAATTTACCTAAGAAAAGTCAGTTGCACAACTTATTTCTACCGATAAAATAAACCTGAGTCATTCTCATACTGTACTATTTAACGACAGTTTTCGAAAAGCTGGATTAAGATAAAATGGTACCTCGCTACAAGCCACTGAGAGATAGGAATCAGAACAAGCGACAAATGTGTGTCAGATGTACCCGGGACACCCGTGTCCGGGACCCGTCTGACGGGTTGTACATTGGACTTACTTTCTCTCCATCGCAGGCACCCTGGGGTCACACCGTGACATGCGGCTATCAGTGTCGCTGATATCTCGGAGATATCACGGGATTACATGGTTCACTTTTTGATAAGTTCTTTATAGAGATGCGAAGGAGACGTGGATAAGTTTGTTTTTCACATTCTAAATATGTTTATTTCACAGGTGAGTAAATTATACTTAATATACAAAGAATGAGCACAAAACTCTGGGGATTGCATCTTAATAATAGATATTTGTTCACTTTTATCATTTACAAAATTCAATTACGAGTAAAAATATTAGGTATAAATTGAAACAACCTGATAGAGTTAATCTGGATCTCTCAACTAATACCTCCATTAAACCGTTTTCAAAAAGTTTTTGCTTCATGGTAGTTTCAAACATCGTAAACTTCAAATCTCCAATATCAACAGAAATATTATTGTAGACACTTATGTGTACTGCCCTTAAATGAGTTTGTTGATTTTGTTCCTCGTATTGGTAAAATAGCTATAACAATTTTACAAAAAAAAAATACTATTTTTCTTAACATAAATTACATTAACATAAATGTACTCAAACGCTTGGGTAAGAACGTTAGTGTTTTAAACTTATATGGGGTCCCAGTTTGTGAATTGTGTTAACATCATGCAGGAGCATGATGCTGTAGGAACAGAGCATAAATTTTATTAAAGTTAGCGGCATTTCTTACATTTCTTGCAATGTCTGGTCGCGTATATTACAGAGCTGAACCATTTCGACAACTTACAAAATCCATTGCATAAATACCTAAAAATACAACTATAATTAACACAGTTAAAGTTTGTAACTAAACCATTTTATTTAAAACATATATTAGATTTTTTTAGTACAACTTTTATATTGAAATTAGTTGAATAAGCAACAAACATCAGGACTACCTACACAAAGTACTAGATATTTCTTTACACCATAAATACTTGTTTAGTGTTTGATATTGATGAAAACTACAATGCACATCCGTACCTAAGTTTTAGTTTACAAAATTTCGGAATACGATGCCATTTACTAAAACCGATACGGTTTTCTCTTACGGGCCATAAAGCAAAGTTAAAAAATGACTTATCTTAACCGTGTGACAGATGACTACGATGATTCATATGTGAGGGGGAGATACGACTTCTTTTGTTTTTGTGAGTAACAATGTGGCAACCTACACAGTTTTTTCAAATGCAGGTATCATCCCAGATACTAAAAAAAACTACTTTTACATCTCTACATAACGAATTTCTTGTATTCTAATGTAACACAAGAAGCTTTTAAATTCCACACGATCAACAATTTGTATTTCAAAAAGGTCGCTATTAAATTCTCAATCTTCCATCAAAAAGCGTGAAATAGATTTACGAGGTCTACTAACGACTTTTGTAATGGCTCTTCAATTTCACTTTGTATTTTGTCGTCTCTCTCCAATCTTTAGACTTTTATTACAAGCATTTAAGTTTTATTTATGAATTCTTTTATATTCCGGCATGTTCCTCCTTTTGCAACAGGGAGGTTTTATAATTCCTATGTTGTAAGTCGCAACGAGTTCCTACATTACGCGGCGATTAAAATATCATCATTCGATAAACTACTCACCTTTCTCCTTTCGCTTATAAAAAACTAATAATACTTAAAAAACCTAAGTAATCTGGGAATTAACCAAGGACAACGACGTTTGCTTGCAGAGTGACTACAATGCGGTTAGTTCGCTGTTAGTACTTTCCTGGGCTACACGAGAAATTATTGATCAATCATGATATTCATGAATCATGATATTTAGGGCGATTTAATAATGTATCACTCCCTCCTACCGGGAGCCGCGGAGGGCTGCAATTTTGACACAGGGAAATGCTTGTTACGATGACGTTGCAGAATTTTGTTATGGTTTCTATGAGGTACCTATGAATGGTTAAATTGACTTCTTTTTCATTTTGTAGTTTCGACAGCTGCAGCGTGACAATTCAATACAAAGTACCTACTTATTTCTTAGTAACTACGCTACTACGCTTTCATACCACCAACTGTTAACTTTTTGTACGTACCTACTCAATATTCCGTAACCATTGGAGTAGGGATTAAAACATCTGAGTGCATATGGCGCACTAGAAAAACCAAATTTATTATTATCCAGTCTTCGATTCGTCGGTGAAAAAGAAAGCAAACTTGTGTGGTCTGGTTTCCAATTCGGAGGCCATAAAACTGGCTTCTCTGTATCCAAGTTATCGAGAATTCTTACGGGCCACGCACAAGGTTTTCTGTTTGCTTTGATGTCATAAGTTTTTTCGGGAAATTTTATATATGATTTACAAGTATTTTACATTAAATACGTGCGCAGTTCCACCGTCTATAATCATCATATATAATTGCGGTTTTGTTTAGACAACTGGCTCAGGTAGAAATCCTAATATATTCGAAGGATCTTCGTATGTCTTAGGACTTCTATAAAAATAGTCTGGCTTAGATTACAAGTTATAAATTAACAAAAAGTCTCTATGTTCATCACTTCATCACTTTTAATTTTGGGATGGGAGTGGTGTAGACTTTGAGATCCAATTCTGTTTTGAACTTTAACTATTTTGACAAATTCAAAAATAATCTCATCCCATTCTCTATGGGTTAGATAGGGATAACAAAATTTCGATTCGCTCTGGACCTTTTGGAGGAAAAATACTCGTTTTTATTTTGACTTTCAATTATTTTGTGAAATCTAGTTTAAAGTGGAATAGGATAGTGCTATTGTGCCTTAATCGAAGATTAAAAAGCGAAATTATATGAATTTCGAACTAGAATATCCGTATCGGCCCGTTTTAAGGAATCCCGAGTCAATCCAAACACGCTGCCTCAAATTGCCTATCCTTTTGTGGTGGCCATATTTACAGAAACAAACTTCATGTTTAGGCTGATGGCTTTGCCAAAGCCTTAATAAATTAAAAAAAAAAAAAAAAATTAAGAGAATCGACACTATCTTAAGTAAATCTAATTCTATAATGGATAGATGATTGTTTGTTTTATAAACAGCGTTTATAGGTACATCCATTATTTAAGGAGCACCCTTTCGAAACTTAGTTCACAGCTGTCAAAAATAGATTGATCTCTGTCATTCCTATCAAAGTGGGGCGTAATGGGTCAATTTCCAACCGATCGGTGTGGCACAGTGCGGAGGTGGTTTTTCCTGCTCGGAGTATGTAAGTTTAAGTATATTTCGGATAACATGTGCTATTTGAGAGAGCGAAAATGTTATTGAATATTTTTAATTTGCGGCCGGATTCCGTTTGTGTCTTTACCGTCCCATTTTTATACTAGGTATTTCATATGTAGTTTTTTTTGTGACTTGTGAATAGATTAAGCTGTTTTTTATTCTAAAAATACTGCTGAAGTGAGATTCTTCTGAAAATTTAATTCTGAGAACGATGATTCTGATCATTATTCGTGGAATTTATTAGTATTTATTATATGTAGTGTGAAATATTTATATACAGGTTTAGTGTAGGCAAATATGAAAGGTTTTTAAAATAAGTACTTTTTGTTATCTTATATATACTTGTTGTTATTCAATACAATACCTAAGTTAT